CAGTGGGCAGCAGCAGAATTGTCAAAGCAGCGGAGGCAGAGGCTTATATTAAAAAGCTTAAAGTCTCGTTTATGCTGAAGCATAATTCCTACACGAGAAGAAGAATTACTTGTTTAATAAAATTAAAACTATTACAAGTAATTACCTGTATGTTTTTTCCCCTAATGTTGATGTTAATATTATAAAAAATATTACCTTTTATACTGCATCATGTGGAATAACATCTATTCTTAGTACATGTTAGTTAATCAGTCAATGATATAAAATATTATATTACGTTACATTTGTTATAACATCGCTACCACATTTTTATTAAGTTTTCCTATTCATTGTTATTATATCTGGTTGCGGTACTTTATGTTTTATATTTAATTAAATATTACAACATAGGTAAGTATTGTTTTCCGCAAGTATAAGCCGGTAAACGAGCAGACGGGTCATCTGATGGTAAGCAATCAACGCCGCCCATGGACGCCTGTGTTACCGGCCTTTTAGGATTAGAAATTTGAGGATTGTGGGGGGGGGGGTATTAGTAATTAGGCCTTTGGTAACTTCGCTCACACGGCGAAACACAACACAAGCGTCTTCATTTTTATTTCACGTCAGTTTTCTGTGAGGCCGTGGTATCATTCCGGTCGAGCTATTCGTGCCGAAGCATGGCTCTCCAACACTTAGGTAATGTATCTGTGTAAATCATATTATTGTTTAGAATCTTTTATAAACTTGGCATACTATTTTAATATCGGATTTGAATATATGTTTAACGATGTAATAGATTTAATACTATTTTACTAGCCTTTCAAGTTGTATGTTTGTAAACGCACCCACGACACAGGAGAAAATCTCAGTGTGGTGCAATTTAAAAAAAGAACCTAGCGACACAACTAACAAAATGATAATAGTGTCATGGTCATATTATATTAGTATTTACATATGAAAGTACGTAGATGTAGTCACCTTATCGCTGTTAGGGACTTTTATGACTCTCACAAGTCGATAAGAACAACTGTTTTTATTCAACATTTCCTGCCGACGTTTAATGTCCTTAATTTTCAATGTAACATTATCTAGAAACACTACATTTCAAACTATACAAAACCAGTATAAATTGACCGTTGAAAGTGCAAAAAGATTGTACAAAGACAGACCATGATATACTGGTTATATATAGGTCGATGTCTAACCGTGTGTACTAACTTAATCAAGTGTCACTAATTGTTCTAATTAGGTATTTTGAAATTACATTAAGTTTACAATTATTTGGATACCTATAAACTTATAAAAGTATCTAACTAAGTACCGAATTTAAATGAACAATAATTTGATAATGTCACGGGACGCCGCGGCATTCCATAGTTGAATATGATTATATAAATCCATATTTATTTAAAACTACTGATTAAATAACAATAGCATTACGTTGGATAAAATACAAAAAACAAATCAATAGCTAAACTCGCTTTAAAACATCAATCTGCAAATGGCATAAAACACAAAAAGACATTCTAAATTCAAACATAAAAAAGTGAAGCGCAATCAACAAAGGCTCATTGCATAAATCGTACCGAAGTGCATAGTTATTTAAAAACTATAACTACACAGAAACAAGCGAGTGCAAGTTACAATATCAACAGTTTGTTAAAGAATTCAAACACACACTGTTTATAAAAAGATCCCTATCATACACCCATGAATATGAAACGATCATAAAAGCTAGCGTAGGCCATAATAATTTAATTACATAGTCAATGTGTGTTCAACATTCGTGGCGCCATCTCTTATTCGTTCGAGTAATGTATTTTTATAGTCGAACAGCTGCTGTAAGGTGTTTTGAAAACAAGTTGTACCACTTGTTTATGCACTAGTGTGATGTCTTTTCAATAGATGGCGCTTATTTTATTTTTATATATTATTGTATTGAGAACGTAGAAATCATTTTGAATACTGAAAATATAAATCCAAACCAGAGAAAAGAAGTTTCTGTGTAGAAATTCATAATTTAAAAACTAATGAGCATTTGATGTGACGTTCCTTAATAACGAGTAAAGACTAACTGCTACATAATTATTTGATATTTATTTTATAGAATAATAATTAAATGGAAAACTATCTCATTTTTATCTAGTTTTGGTTTTGGTTTGAATTGGATTTTCAGAAGAAAGCAATACTTGTTCTGCGGATATTGGTACGCATCAATCTCCGATATTAATAAATAATTTAATAAGTAGGTTACGTACCTATACCCATACTGTATTTATACTGATAGCGTATTGTATGTGTATTATAGATTCGACTATATTCGATTATGAAATCTCTATAAAATACATAAATATTTCTGATGTACCGCGCATACAAGAAGTAAACAAATATGAATGAAACAACTTAAAGGTATGGACAATTGAACACAGCCTTACTGCTTGGAGAGTCCTCTTGAAAATTGAGAAATAATCTGCCCTCTATTATAGTAAACGAAAGTTCCGTATCAAGGTAACCATTGAACTAAAGGATTCACGATTTTAAAGTGCTACGCTTTATCGTACCAAAAGACTACGCTAACGGCTACGAAGTCTCTGCTACAGCCACTAGATGGCTCTATTTGTATAAGAATTTCAATTCTCTGTATTTACATTTTATCATCATGATCATCGTCACCATTATCATCAGTCCGTTTTCATAGATTTCTTCAATAGTACTTTTCATTTAAAATAATTCAATTTGACATTGTAGAAATAAGTTAGACGGAGTTATACGGAGCCGCGGAGGACTTATCGGGTTGCCGGAGCTCCGGTTCGAAGTGCAGGAGTAGGAACGGGTTAATTTTTAGTCAGTAAGAGTCTGATACTCCCTCCCGCCTTACCGGGCTTACTCTTGAATCCAATTCCGATCCATCGACAATGGTATTTTAAAATTTCATACTCTTGAGTTGCAACACCATTGCCTTTGCCCATTGGATATTTAATGAACTAAATGGTATTGAGTTCAGCGTTATATTCCGTACTCTGAATGCTATTTTAACAGCTACGATAGGGGTTGTATAGTTTTGACATTGAATAATTATTGAGATTTTACTGAATTGAAATTTAATTGACATTGAGATTGGTTAAGTCAAGAGTAAGTCACTCCAGTCGGGAGAAGATATTAAATGATTTCCTCCCTCAAAAAAAACTTATTTTCTGTAACTTACCTATCTTCAATAATGTATTAACTATCTAACTCAGGAATCTAGGCGTTTTGCCATACCTATTATTCGAAGCAAGTATAACAGCTCACACATAGGACCTACTTAGTTTTTAGTCAAATTTCCGTGGTGCTTGGCGACTGGGCTTCACCCTGTTGTACAGTCTCTTCTTTGTGCCTGTAGGCTTAATTCATTCTGTCTCCTGCAGTAATTCACCGAGGGAAGTGGAAACCATAGTTTTTTTCTTCTTCTCCTCTTATAATAACTTCTTATTCACTTCGTTGCGGGAACCAAGACAGTTACTCATGCCCCTGGGACGCGCCGGACTTCAGTGTTCCGGTGTTTTCATGGTTGTATCTACTGTAGATCCTGGCTTACAGGAGTTGCAGCGGTTTTGGAAGGTTGTGGCGGGCTTGTCCCATTAAAAAAATTACTCAGGAATCTAACCCGACACTATTTCTTTAGCCATCGCGATTGCAGCCATTCGACTAACGGCCATAGGTTTTATTTAATCTAATTGTGTAAGTAATTTAATGACATTCTATTCAATCTAAGATACTTGTCGTACAATAGAAGCTATCTAAGGACTATAAAAATCTTCTCAAATGTTCTTGATAAAGATCAGCATAATAATTTCAAGAATCGTCTCGAACTTTAGTTAGTGTTTTCGGCCAAGTTAATCAACATATTATTTATTGTTATTATAACTTTCGTGATCGGCTTACTCAGTAGCCGCGCGACAGTCGCCGCGTCGCAGGTCTCAAAATGCTGCTCATGAATATGAGCCTCTGGCATGGCTTGAAACTAGTCGAGTTCCTCGTTAAATAATTACGTGAGTAAGCCGAAAACATAATAATATTATTTAATGTTTTCTATCAGTTTGCCATCATGTACGGATACTGTTATCCTATGTAAAATATTTGTTGTCCTATGAAAGTCAAGTAATAGTCATTGCTCACCTGTCAGCTTTTTTAACCGACTTTAATAAAAGTAGGAGGTTCTCAGTTCGACTTGTTTGTATTTATGTATGTTTGTGCGCGATTATCTCGCGATTGGAGCAACTAATTTTGATGCGGTTTTCAGAAAAGAGTTCATTACACTTTTTTTTTTGTTAAGTGGGGAAAATCATCGCTCCCGCCTGGGTGAGGCGGGAGGGAGTGTCAGACTCAGACTCGAACCGGAGCCCCAGTAACTCGCTAGGTTCTCCGTGACTCCGAATCGGCATCCGCCATGTCGGGCCTGATCCGAGGTGGTCTGATGGCTCTTTGAGGCGCGCGCGGAACGCGTCGCTCCGCACGCTCGGGTCTGTTTCTGGCTGCTTACTCTTGAAACCAATCTCAATGTCAATGCAATTTCAATCCAATAAAATCTCAATAATTATCCAATGTTAAAACTATACAACCCCAATCGTAGCTGTTAAAGTAGAATTTTGAATACGGAATATAAAGCCAAACTCAATACCATTTAGTTCATTAAATATCCACGCAATACGAATGAAATGGGCGCTAGTGTTGCAACTCAAGAGTACGAAATTTCACAATACCAATGTCGGTCGATCGGAATTGGATTCAAGAGTAAGCCACAGGTCGAACGGGGAGCCACCCATGCTCGCCGTCCGCAGTCCCGTGCTTACGGTGGCCAGAGATCGTCGTTTGTTACACTTAAGAGAAAGTTTTAGTATATTAATTAACTTCTTTTTTGAAGTCGGTTTTTTTAAATGTAGTATAAAAAAGAATAATGATTCTAGATTCATATTGCCTGTAAGTATGATGTAAGGAGGGTAAGGTAGAGACAGCGCATCGCACCAATAACAACACCAATATTTAAATTTCTATTTATTGATTCAATTTGAACTTCGAACTCACAATAAAATGCAGCACAGTAAACACAAAAATCATCAAACCATTTATTATTATGTAGAATACTTATTAAAATACGTGAAACAGTGATTGGAAAGGTACAGAAACCAGGTTTTAGGTACTACTAACATCGAATATTGTTGACGAACGACAATAAATTTAGATCGATCGAAAGTAGACATCCTATACCGACGAGAAACAGCTGATTTTGAGCAAAAAGTTTTGTTAAAAAAATAAGTGGTCGGCTCGTTACCATCATATTAAAAATACATAGCGGTTACTTGATGCGGGATTAAACTTACGTTATACACAGTGAGTAACTTACGTAAATGCCATACGATAAGCACGGGCGGGCGCCTACTCGCACCTCTTTCGCTGCGAGACAAATGTCCAACACCACCATCACGTCTAAACATCGAGCCATGTTGTTAACAACAACGCCATCTATACTCAATCCACGCAAACTGCCACGCGCAGCGAAATAGGAGCAACAGAGCGCCGTGGCGCATCTGATATGACTTCATTTGTAGTAACGCCACTACGCCCGTAAACAAATAGAAATAGTGTATATAAATTAGCTTATGTAACAAATAAGCTTAAATGTATATAATACTGAGGCAGAATTACATCTTAACTACGACGTAACATTAAGTGTGGTACGTGGGATTAGACACGAGCGCAAGCCCTTACTTTATACGGACGAATGCGATATATAATTATATTTTGCTTTATATCTATGTATCTGACGCTAAAACATCTATATAATGTATTACTTTTTGTACATCTACTTATATATTAACCGTACATACACTCACTAAGCTTACTTGCCTCGCGACCGCGTACCCAAGGTGCGTACACAACCGTTTGTCGAAACAATGCCAAATGTAGGTAGATGTCGCCTTGACTAGATACAAACGTCGCCACGATGGTCACACGTGGCTCGTACTAATGTACTCGTACTCTAATTACAAAACGCACGTTGAGTACACGGCGACCTCTCACGTCGGGAACTTGGTATTGTCCCGCGGGCGAACACGAAGGATACATAGCGACCATCACGACACAGAGACTCACTAACTCATCAGAAGGAATGTTGCAAGTAATCAAAGAGAGAATCGTTCACCCGCGCCGGCTATGCCGCCCGTCCCATCGCTAAGTACACATTAATTATTAAAATATATTTTCGCATTTATTACATAAAATTCACGTTATGTTCTACCTACGTTAGAAAAGTAAATGAAAGCGGGCGTTAAGTGTAAGTAATTTAGGTTCAAATTTGTACGCGGAGCCTATATACACAGCGTACCATGGACGTTTGTTCCACTCACCCCAGTAGTAACATTCAACGAACCGAACAGGGAAACTATAGCTAAACGATAGACAGACTAAAACTGAGATCATTCGAGTAACGACTAACAAAACGCACCACAGGACCAAGGGGCCGTCGGACGTCACCACTGCGGGAGCGGCTTCAAAAACTTAATTTAAAAACTCGACTACAGTGACACTTATGAATTCTAGGACACTAGACAAAAAAACTTAGATCTAAGTCCTTAAAATAATAATAAATATTTTGGTGCAAAATAAATAACAAAACATAAACCGTTATCACTTCTAACCTTAACATATGACTGACCGCGTTACCGCAAACGAATATTCCCACTAATCACACAAGCTTTAATGAATGTTCATAACAAAGGACCTCCCGCCGGGAGTGCGGCCTCGCCGGACAATATATAAGTTTCACACACATTCATTCCATAAAGAATTACGCTGAGGACAATAGATAAAGGTGTAGGGTAGAAAAACACCCTGTCTCTAGGGGCATCTAGCACACATCACAAGAATTTGGAAGTCTGTCTACGTGCTGTGAGACTTCACCGGCGTCTGATACTGTTCAGAGTTACGTTGATGATTTTGTGATGAGATTCGAGGTTCAGGACGCTGATGAACTAACAGAGGACGTAGACGAAAGAATTGGCCGAAAGGACACCACAACAATTTATAACACTCCTGTCCGCAGTAGACTTGATGATACATGGAGTCAAGTCACTTGGCCGGACGTGACGAGCCGCGCACTCCTAGCGAGGGTGGAGGGGGAGGGAAGGGAGGGATGGAAGTGTGGGAATCTACTCTTTGACCTCGAAGTACTTGTAGGTCGGGTTCTCGTAGCCATTGATCTGCATGTTGGCTACGTGTCGCTCTTCGGGGGTCGGGGCGACGGCTCCGGTCTGCTCCACCTGGGAAATGGGAAAATCCGTTAGTTAATAAAAATTATATATTTGGTAGAAAATATCATCATCATCAAGAGCCCATTAGAGTCCACTGCTCATAGGCCTCTTTTATAAAAGAGAAGTTTGCGATAATCTCCACCTTTGGCAAACGGGTTGGAGATCACAGTTTATCAGACTATTCTTCAGCTCGATCATTGTAAAATACGCAGTCCCTTGGGCCTTAGTCGACCTTACAACACCACTGGCGGGAAGAGTACGAGTGGTAACTAGTTTACTTTATCTATTATCTTATATCTTATACTATTATATAAAGCGGAAGAGTTTGTTTTTTTGTTTGTTTATTTGAACGCGCTAATCTCGGTAACTACAAGTCTGATTTGAATAATTATTTTTGTGTTATATAATGCATTCATCGAGGATGACTAAAGGCTATAAAACATCACGCTACGACCAATAAGAGCTGAGCAGAGCGTGTGAAACCGCGCGGAAGTAGCTAGTCTATTTATATGTATTTTCCAAGGCTCATTCGTGTCATATCTCACCTGCACGAATCCCTGCGCGGGCGGCGCGCGGTCGCGGCGGCGCGCGACGGCGAGCGCGACGCAGGCGGCGGCCGCCAGCGCCGCGCCGCCCACGCACAGCGCCGGGTACAGCGCGCTCGCTGACCCGCCGCCGGGCATACCCGCGCCGCGGACGGTGTAGCCCTGCGGACATATTGAAGGTACTTACATCGTTATTCGAAAGGAAAGTGCTTCGTGGTAGATAAGGACCATTAAGCTTTTTGGCTATGTCAGAATTTAAAGTTAAAAAAAAAATTCTGGCCAAGGCAGTTTAGCCCCGTTACAAAGATTTTTAGGAATTCTTTAGAAGGTCTTTCTAACATCAAACAAAAGAACCAAACCGTGTTTTATTCCATACCAATTCTGAGGAGTTCGTGTATTACTATGGGCATCCAAAAAATCCTTATGACCTGACCAGAAATCCGCTGATTTCTGGTCAGTGCCTTTAGCCAAACGCCACTTTAGCGCTTGTCTACCGAGAGCGTAGAAATTAAAATGTATGGGGATGACACTGACAAGTGTCAAAATTTACATCAATTCCATACAATTTGGTTTTCTATTCTACATGTAGACAAGCGCTATATGGCATTTGACTACAGCTCCAGGTTTGCACGGAAACTGACCAGAAACGAGCAGCCAGCCCTCCTCAAAATAATACTAGGGTACAACTACTACTCTGTATCTCAGTTCTGATGCAGTATCCAGGTACTCACGGGCTGCGAGTGCTGCAGCTCGTGTTTGAGCGCGTGTGCGGGCGGGGGGGGCGCGCGCTCCTCCGCGTGCTGCAGCGCGGCGCGCAGGCCCTCGCCCTCCGCCTGGAGGACACACAACATGACATTAACGGTACACCAACATGTGAGAGATAAAATCTTCCTTGCATTAAGCAGATTCTTAAACTGTCAAACACCGCGAGGTTCACCGGTTACCGCAACCTATTGTTCTTTAACTCGTCGAGTACCGTCATTATAGACACAATTATAGAACAATAGCTTGCGGTCACCGGTGACCGCTTGGTGTTTGACAGTTTAATTGTGTCTATAATGACGGTACTCAACGAGTTAATCCTTTTCTGCATTCTAAAATATGTAAGTTTTCAAATAAGGATACACTGGTTTTCAAGGCATCATTGTCACGTGTATGTATACTGAAAGTTCAAAAACTTTTTAACAACTTTCATTTCAAAGTAGCAAGCATGGTACAATAGCACTCATTTCAAAAAAACTATTATTTCTGCTAAGTACTATTGTCTGTACTGTAGTACAATTTCTAATCATAATTACCTCGCTAGTGGACCGTCGGCTGGAAGTCTCGCTGATCTCACCGGTCTCGGCAGTCTCGCTCTCTGGTACGTCAGTCACCGTGCTCGTAATGATCTCCTACGACAAATATTTTAATTACTGCTAGCTGTTACCCGCGACTTTGTCCGCGTAGAATAATGACTTCTGGCAAAATTTAGGCTTTTGAATAAGTCTTTATCAAGGGATATTATATGGTAATGAATGTCGTCAGAATTGATTCAGTACCTAGTATAGGGCTCCTCCGCCGTAAATGATAGCGTGATAATATGTAGCCTATATGTTGACCCGACTTGTTAGTAATATTCATGCAAAATTTGCAGCAGTACTTTTTGAGATCATCCCGGACATATGTATGTATTATATATGTATTTTTAGCTATTATATGCTGAAAACCATACCTTTGGCTGCGGTATCGATGGTAAGTCACACTGAAAGTATTCTTTTAAAATGTACAGTTTTTACGTTTCTACAATTTATTTATACAAGTATGTATAGATTTGCCTAAGAACTCTAAACACGGTGCGAAACTTTTATAGCCAGGAAGAATGATGACAAATCATTGCTGACTTCTGACTTTGGTCATAGGTACCAAGTTACCAAACATGAATCCAGTATTAAAGTGATACAGCTAAATCATAAAGGACTATTAAACTTACAGTAGTAGTAGTATCCTGTGAGAAGGGAGCATGGGTGGTGATATCATGTGGTGTCACCGACGCTGCAGATGGGACTGGTGATGCGCTGGCAGATGCTGATGGGGATGGGGATGGAGGCGCCGAAGCAGAGGGAACTGGGCCTCGAGTGCTGCTGGATGAAGTGTCCTCGATCTCACTCGCTTCACTCGCTTCGTCATCAGCTTCTAAACTCTCCTTCACACCGTTTGAGGTCTGGAAGACGATTTTGGAGTTATTTGTAAAATTCTGAATGGAAATTGGAGCGTTAACGAGAAAAATGTTAGTGGGTATTTTAAAAGCAAGTCAATAATAATTAATTTTTGTATATTTAGTGGTATCAATCATTTTAATTTCTTTGACATTACTGTATTCAGTCTAACAACATTACAATTAATTCAACTCTATGGACCTAATTATATCATATAGAGGTAATATTTTTTTATAACATCTTTGCATGCCAAGTGAAGGCAAAATATGGAGAAACTGTAAATTTTGTTAACATCCATATTGTTATGTATCCATGTTTGCAAATGATTAAATGAATTTTTACTCGTCGAGTACCGGTTTTGTAGACACAATAGGCGTGTCGACAGGGTAAAAAAATCAAAAAAGTAATTAGTCGGTCATTAAGATCGCACGAAAATATCAGACACGTATTTTTTGTTTTATCAAATTAACAGAAGAATACGTAGTTATTCCGCATTAAAGTTAGGGAGTGGGGGGTGTTGACGTCACACTTACGGAGAAATCGTACCTAAGTGTGACGTCACGCGTCATTTTAACTCAAAATATCTACATGTTTTTTTGGATACGAGAAAAAAGAAAAAATACGTATCGAAGATTTTTAAAATATTTAAAAGACGGACAAAAAATTAAAAAATAGTCGCCATGCCTATTATAGTACAATAGGTTGCGGTCACCGGTGACCGCTTGGTGTTTGACAGTTTAATACATTTTTGCTTGTTTTATTTCATATAGGTATATGCATATAGAGGTAGATAATTCTACGGCTTTAAATTTTGAGCTCCTTACCTTAGCCCGTTCGTTCTGGATATCCTGACGCTGTCGAGTGCGCTGATCACGTTTAGCGTTGAGCTGATCCCGAGCGGCCTGTTCCCGCTGTACTTCGGCTTCAATACGGTCCAGCAACAGTTCCTCAGCTTCAGGAGTCATTGACATCAGGGACACCGCCATGTCGTCCTTGGATTGCATCGACTAGAATGTTAGAATTTGTCTCATGTCACTGAGAGTGGCAATCAGACTGATGGGATTGTATACTTGGAAATGTAATAAATGACTTTTGAAATTCTTTTCGACTAAAGAAGAATAATGATTATAGCATAGCATAGTATAATATCTTCCAATACAACTTTCAAACTTGATGAATTAAAACTGTCGTGAAATTATCTTGTTCTTCTATAAATATATTGTTGCTTACCTGAACGTAATCTTCAATAGCAGTTCCAATGCTAGCGTACAGGTGAGGGCGGCGGCGGAGGGAGGAGAGGGCGCGCTGCAGAGCTCGGTCAGCATCCTGAGTTAGAGAGAAATGTTGCTTTAATATGTTATCATTGTCGAGCTCATACACAGTTTCTACCACAGTACAGGGTTTTTTTTTATTTTATGGTACTACTAATTTTTACCCGCGGCTTCGCTCGCGTCACAAAAGAATTAAAAATAGCCTAGTAAAAGTGTGACATATACCAATACACACAGCGCCATCTATACCAATACTTTTGTTTTCCCTCGGGAATATCAAATTTTTCCGGGATAAAAAGTACCCTATTATTTAATCCAGACTTCTAACTTTACGTCTGCAAAAATTCAAAACAATTGGTTTAATAGTTACGGCGTGAAAGCGGAACAAACTAACAAACTCACTTTCCGATTTATAATATTATAATATACAATTTCAGTGTTGCAACGTTATGACAAGTACTAAATAGTGACGTTGCGAAATTATTCGATATGGAAATGCAATATTTCTGGATCGATTCTTCATGTTTATAATTTTACTCTCGTATACTAAGTATTTTTAGAAATTCAATATTTCTGAACCGATAAATTAGTTTTGACGATTAATTAACGATCTGAGACTTTTCTTTTATAATTGTGTGTGAAATAAATAAAAAAATAAAATCATGAAGGAACATGACAAATAAAACAGATAGATGTATTATGGTAATAAGTTATTTTGTAAATTGTCGCCGTTATCGATATCGCTATCCTGTCACTTTCTGTAACATTTATTATAAAACACACACACTGATTGTCTATCGTTTTTTGTGTTCATCACTACACTATTATATGTGGTATCATTATTGTCACTATTGTCAAATCTGGAATCTAATAAAAATTCTGACTATAGTAAGGATTGAAGTTCTGCCTACCTGCAATCGGTCGGCAGCACTGGACCGCTCGGCGGCGGCGGCCTCGCGTCCGTTGGCAGCAGCGCGGCGCCACGCGGCCAGCGCCCCACTGCGCTCCGCGGCCAGAGCACGGACTAGGCGCTGCAAGCACTTCTGGACGCGGTGGGCCTGGACACGAGGTTTAAAATGAAATTAATGAAGACAAAAAAAAAGAGAGCATAAGCCACTGGACTGATCCTAATTCCTTCTAAGGAACAGATGACAATAATAAATTAAATTAACTAAAAATCGCGGGTAAGTCATGTCAATATACTGAGAAAAGCTCTACTAGTTTCGAACTACAGAGGGGTTCCTCGTCATGAACAGCGTACGATAGTTATTAGAAAAAATAATACATTAAAAAAGCTGCAAAAATTTCGTACTGACAACCCTGTTATTACTAATAACCTGAACGAAATCAATACGGTTATTGATTTCGTTGAGGTCAGTGCCTCAATACTAAAGCCTTTAGATATATTATAGCATCAGTTCTAAACGGTACTTCTGTGGTGTTTTTGATTTCCAGCCGTCGACGATAGCTAACTTGGAGGAGATAGAAATAATTTTATCATGGTTGTAAATACTTACATTGGGTGGAGTGTCCCGGAGTGAGCGGGTGTAGCAAGCGAGAGCAGTTCGGCGACGCTGAGCGAGGTGAGCCAGGACTCGTTGCTGATGGAGAGCAGCCAATCGACGACGTTCAGCTACACCTTCTTCTTCCAGAGTCTAACGAAACAATTAGTTTAGATGATACAGTTGAAAAAGAAGTTTAAGAGGACTTTACAAACCAAGAAAAACATAAAATAAAAATTTAACATTCTGAAAAAATTGATAAATCTTTATTTCAAAATCAAAGCAATCATATACACTAAAAATCTATATATATAACGTCACGCCTTTTATCCCCGAAGGGGTAGGCAGAGGTGCACATTATGCCACTGTACAATGTAACACCCACTTTTCACTATTTATGTTATGAGTCCCATGTAATAGGGGGTGAGCCTATTACCATATACAGGGCACAATTCCAGACTCCGTGCTACTACTGAGATTTTTTTTAAAACCCAGTAATACTTTGTCCGACCCGGGAATCGAACCCGAGACCCCTAGCCCGGCAGTCGCAAGCCACTCGGCCAACGAGGCAGTCTAGTCTAATCAGCCAGTTAAAATCTATGCAATCTGGAAGAATATTCGTTATTTTTACCTGAATGTTAGACTGGAACTTGGTAGTCATACGTTGGCGGAAGGTCTGGGCGGCAGCGGGGTCATTGTTCATCATTTGCTGGTACCGGTCTTCTAGCTCCGACCATTCCTTCATGACCTTGGTGATCTGATAAAAATACATTAGTTTAAATTAACCTTTAAGGAACCATTTTTATAAGATATTTAGTCGGTATTTTCAGACAGTTCATTGCTTCTCCTATTAACTATATTGGATAATTTTTTTAGAAAACATCATTTTTTATTTGTAGATAAAAATAAATTCATACCTTCTCGCGGTGCGTCTCCTCCAGCCTCTGCTGAGCGTCCTTGTAGCTCTGATGTTCGGTGCGAGGGTCGAAGTGCGAGAAGTAAGGGTCGGAGGTAGCGGATGAAGCCTGCAAACGATATAACAATCAGTCTTAACATTAAGATTAACATCTTAACATCCCAATTAAAATCTATAGACAATATTTTGTGTGATTTCGGAAATCATAAAAATACGACCATCCACCATTTTAACGATTTTTTAAACTTTATTTGTATTTTCGTCTTCTATGTTCTACTATTTTTGTTATTCTCTGGTATTTCTCTCATTCATTTCAGTTCTGCACTGAGTCTTAACAGTGCCTTTAGCCAAACGCCACTTTAGCGCTTGTCTACCGATAGAGTAGAAAAGTAAATGTATGGGGATGACGTTGACAAGTGTCAAAATTTACGTCAATTCCATATAATTTGGTTTTCTATTCTACATGTAGACAAACGCTAAATGGCATTTGGTTACAGCTGCTGGATTGCTGAACAGTCTTTTGTTACCATACCATTATTACTATTATACTTTACATCTTTTTTATTATTTTCTATCACAAATTGGTATTGGTATAATACAACTTACCGTAGTGGTCGTGGTCGTAGTGGTGGTAGTCGTGGTGGTAGACGGCTGCGAGGAAGTTTCGGGACGAGGCCAGGAGTTATCATCACCGTCAGTATAATCGTCGTCCTCAGCATCATCATCGCGAGACAAATCTGCGTCTTCATCTTCATCCATGTCTATATTGAAATTAAGATTATTATTTATTTACATAATTATATTTTACAGCAATAAAAATAAAGTTCTATGTAGGAAGACAGCTTCTAGACTAAACTTCAGTTAATAATAACACATGAAATTTGAGTTTTTAAACCAACTTACCGTCATCAGCGTCGTCATCGTCGTCGTCGTCGCTAAGGTTCAGAGTGTCGTCGTCATCATCGTCATCCAAAGCGTCATCATCATCCAAAAGGTCATCATCACGCTCATCCATCGCCGCTGAAGCCGCAAGCATCTCCTCACCACCGGGGCTGACGGGGACTCCAACATCCATGGGCTTGTGCATCTTTACGTTTTCTAAAAAATAATTCATGTATGAGCATTTTTGTCTTTGCCTTATCAAAAATAACTTTATCTATACCTGACTATGTAGATATTCAATCGACTTACCCTTAAAATGTTTTGGGCAGCAGACAAACTCGACACCAGAGAACAGGCTGATTCCACAAGGCAAGAGCATCGCAAAAGTCCTGAGCTTCAGTCCTCGTTGGGAGCAAGCGCGACCAGCCGTGGCGTTCCACCTCGCGAACTGCCAGCACCGCGACTGGTTGTGGATGTGGTCGAAGAGACAGCTTTCAGGCACCAGCAGCGCGTCCGATTGGAATGGACCTTCTGCCGCCAAATACTCTTTGTAGTTATGCATTGTAAGTGTTCGTGAATGGATTCAGGAAGGGAAGGAAGGGCAAGTGAATATGGCAGGTGAATAAATATTCATGTTAAAAGAATCATGTTTAGTAATATTTCCTTATTTAATCCTATATTTGACAAAGGTACTTACTGAAGACCCAAAATCTTTAACCACATAACCCCATTCATTCAATTAGGAAGTTCGGGACGGATTCATAAGACGATAACCCTATTAAATTACAAAGTAATCATGTATCAGTAATGGATACATACCAAGACAACGGAACGGCTTCACCCATCGCGTGACCTTGCACTTGGCCGCGTTGCCAGTCCCCAGCTTGCACCAGTTGCTGACCTTCACGTAATGGGAAGCTTCAACGATGTTGGTGATGTCGTGGCTCGGGTATACCTGAAAGAATATGACGAATTTTCTTTAAACTAAGAACTTAACATAACGTAACATCACGCCTTTTATCCTCGAAGGGGTAGGAAGAGGTGCACATAATGCCACTGTACAATGTAACACCCACTTTTCACTATTTATGTTATGAGTCCCATTTAATAGGGGGCGAGCCTTACCGTTACCATATACCGGGCACAATTCCAGACTCCGTGTTACTACTGAGATTTTTTTTAAAAACCCAGGAATACTTTGTCCGACCCTACAATCGAACCCCAGAACCCTTGCCCAGCAGTCGCACTTGCGACCACTCGGCCAATGAGGCAGTCTAAGAACTTAATATAAGTATTCTTGACGGAAATTCAATGAGAGTTGAGAGATTCATTCAAAAACATAATGAAACATTGCTTGTAACCAATTTCACACACATTAATAAGGATTTGAAATTGTCTGGTCAGAGGTGAGTGAGGCAACACATTCCGTCCTAATTCAGGAATTCCATAAAACAGTGGAATTTGGCAATTTAAAAGGGTTTAATGCGAATATACGACTGTTCTAAATAGTTTCATTTGATTTAAAGCTCGCAGCATTCGGTCGGTTCTTGAGATGATTTACCTCGTAAATCATAGAAATGAAATTGATTTCTTATCTAGCAGACTTAACAGCAGTCGTCTTTCTCTTTTTCGTGTTCATCGTGTTTCCTTTACATATGTAAAGAACCCATTAATTATATTTTTATTACAGTTTAGAACATAATTAATGAATTTAGTAAGTAAAAAATATTGAACCGATGATATCATATTGGATTATTTTTATTCCAAACTAGATAACAACTTCATGTTACATAAATACTCAGATAATGTAAGTTATATAACACGTAAACCCGTGGGTGTTAAAATAGTTAAGTAAGCAATTAGTTTTAGCGAATTATTTGTTGGTAAGTATCTGTAGTGCTAGTTAAGCGGTAAGTTAACGAGATTACTATCAGTCGATAATACGTGGTCACGGGGAACTACACGAGGTTACGTCTCTATGTCAACTTGGTAATGTTTCGTTATTATTTCCATTTAGATTAGTTTAATGGTAATTTTACAAGACAGTGTTTTTTTTCATTTAACTCGTCGAGTACCGTCATTATAGACACAATTATAGAACAATAGGTTGCGGTCACCGGTGACCGCTTGGTGTTTGACAGTTTAATGTAGGTATCACGGATTTCTATCATTTAAAACTAACTCAAGATCAGATCTAAGTTATGCTGAAAGGTAAAATAAAACCAAATTGTAGTTTAGCGTATAGTACAGAGCATGAAAAAATTTGCGTAACCATGTTCAGACAATGGCACCAACAACCAATGACAGCTGGACTGCGGCTTCTGGGTCTCTTCTACTAAATCATTCAAGAGAAGCATTCATTGACTTTGAGTTTACCTTTCCAGTTTATAATGAGAAAAGCAAAAAATATGAACCACCAACTCCTTTCTTACCTTCTTGCAATAATCGAGGATTTCCATCTTGTCCTTGAGGCAGTTGTGGGGCTTGGTGGTAAGGTCGGGAGTCCATCGGCCGGCGGCTGACATGTACTGCGGGTGGTAGGTGCCGCCCGCTTCACATAGGACGGCTACCTGGGGCTCTGCCCCACTGCTTGCCTGGAACAATAAAAGGATACTGTTAGAAAAGATGTTGATATGTCAAGATCGATGAGTGAACCGAATTTTCTATAAACAGTTAAAATTTTATACGTTAAAGGTAAAAGACAATAAAGTCACCAAACTGAGGTTCGTAATAAGAATGTAGCCAATATGGTTCCTACTCGAGTTGACATGATATTCGAAATAAGTACCTATATTTGTGATGCCAAAGTAATTTTATTCATTCATTTATTATTTGACTAGACTGAATGTTAAGACAATTTACCATTAAGAAATCTTATACCCACCAAAGGAAAATATCTACCACGTTAAAATTACAATAACATATCCCCGCAATACATTTTTCAAACACATACCAAACAAATAAAAGCTATGTAGGATTGTAGGTACATAACCACCCCAATCAATTAATTGTCTAAGACCAAAGTTGTCCTAAGTCCCAGACATTCTGATGTCTAGATACCTGTCAGACCAGTCTAGACTGGAGGGGAGTCGGGCCTAGACTAGTTATTATTAAAAAAGGGTCGTTGTGCACCCAAATGATAACATTTTATAAACTTAGTTATATTAATAATAGTTCTTGAATATTCTCATTTCGAAGATATTGCGCGCGTAAAAAATTATAATGAAAATAATTTGAGAGATAAAAACCTTTTTAGTTTAAATTAGATCGTCAAGATAAATTGTTGAAATAATTTTATGTAAGTACTTACAACTAATAGGTACTTTATAACAGCCACGCTTATTTTCTCCGTAGTTATTTTTCTTAAATAGATAGAAAGTGTATATACACAATACATATTGCTATTTGTTTGGTAAATAAGTACACGTAGATACGATATCAAACAAATAATTAAAATGAGACTTTTAGCTCTTGAAATCCCTAGACAACTTGAACACAAATCAAAACATTTATGTAAATTGAATTTCAAAGAAAATAAACCCTAATCTGTAAGGCATAAAGTACAAAATAGAAAATAACATTTCAAATTCAAATTATAAAAAAAAACAACGAGATATCGTCTGCACGAAACAGACGAAGCTAAGGGCAACAACCCGTAACCTAATACACGTCAGCCCTACGGTTTTCCATTAGTTAAACTATACATTGCACTTTGAAACCTATTGTTAATCGATCGTTCGCAAACAAAGGGGGCAATGTACTGCGATCACCGAGCTTAGGGTCGTATAAAAACGTTGGTATTTAAAGCTGGATTTGAAAGTCTGAAAGAGATTAAATGGAAAATAACTGTTGAAAATACTGCATTGAAATGATTAGAAATTAGATGGAATGAAAATTCTTTGCGTTAGATTATAATAGATTCATGTTTCATAGTTGTAACTCTAATAGTACCTACTTAATGTCTATACATTGGCCGAGCAATATCAAACTTTACGTTCACAAAATCAACTCCTAACAATCTTAAATAATCCCGATTAACAATAAATGAAGTCAAAACATCTTATTTCATTCAACCAAAGCCCGAAAGGTACCCTTTATCCAGAACTTCGATTTACATAAACAATATTACAAAAAGGATTAATCTAGACCTCACTTAATGTGGTTTTTCACGAGAACCATAATAATAAAAGAAATATTCGACTGTTTTAACGGCAAAGTGATCGTTAAATCTCATCGTAAAGTGTGTATTTACGTTTTTACAGTTTTCATGCAAAACTCGTATCGATTTTTTCATAAAAACTGTCGGAAGAATCGTTTTAATCAGAGCCTAGAGAGATATCGCGTTTATTGTTCTTTTTATCGATGAAGATGAATTGAGTTTGAAAAAACATTTTCCAATTTCAATTCTTTTAGAAAATTCTAGACGTTATTTTAATTACTTAGACGAGTTTTCTTATAGTTGCGTACTATTGACATATTAATAGATACGTTTATTTCTTATCTATTTTCAATTTAGTGTCTGACCTATATCGATTCTTACATACAATCGATACCGCCTGCCTAATCACTGCATTTTTGGGGAATTATTATAGCAGCGATGACGCGCTTGCCAAAAATGTGAAGTCATGGGTAACATAGTTGTTTTTAGCCTGCATGTAACATGATTCTTATAAACCATATCAAGTTGAGTGTAATATTTACATTATTAACGGTGAATAAAGGAATAAAAAAATATGGTCTAAGAGTAAATAAACCTAAGAATGAGATAACTTGAGTTCTTCATAACAATAACGCTTAAAACATTTCAACGTGATTAAAAAATACGAAGCAAGATTATGACGAAAATAAACATAGTTTTAAAAACATCACCATCAAAGGACGGACTTCTTTTGAAACATTTTAACTTCATTTAGAAACTACTGGAATCCCACTTCACTTGTTGCAGTTCATTACAGAGTTTTCACTTCAGCCACTCCATTTAGTTAATTAATTAAAACTCTTTCACATTTTAGTTTGTATCTCTGTTTGTGATGTCAGTATGCTGTATTTTAACTAATAATTTCATGATATTTCACAAGCAACGACAAGCTTAAAACATGTCCGCCATGTTGTTTTGTTATTTTTTTTAATCTTTCACCTAAATTAAATTCGAAGTTAAAAGCCAGTGTTGTGTTCTAATTTTGAATTTTAATAATCAAATAGTTTTAAGACATTACAATAAATTGTAAGTTTAAAAAAAAATGGAATTAAAAAGTTTTATGCAAATTCCATTTTTAAAAACTGTTATAATTTTTTTATTAAAATGGTTTATTAAATAAAAAAAAAAGTTCATGAAATAAAATTTCGACTGCACGGTTGGTGCGGTGGCTGGGCAACCGGCTGCCGTGCAACGTGTCGCGGGTTCGATTCCCGCACGGAACAACACTTTGTGTGATCCACAAATTGTTGTTTCGGGTCTGGGTGTCATTGTGTATGTGAACTTGTATGTTTGTAAACGCACCCACGACACAGGAGAAAATCCTAGTGTGGGGCAACGTTTTTTAAAAGAAAGAAAAAAAAAATAATAAATTTATAAAATGGTTGATATTTTTTTTCTATGTACATTCCTCAGATTTGAGTAATATTTGAAGAAAAAATAAAAATCATTATTACGTAGATTTTATTTAAAATAGAATCGAATGATAATGACAGAAATAGAAATAATTACAATGTTTGTAATGTTTAAGTTAAAATAAACTATGTATTTAGATTTAGCTTAGAACTCAAAAGATTTTACAATAACGTATGTAGAGTAAACTTAAATAAAATAACAATAAAAATAATTCTTTCCATTTTAAGTGTACACAAACTTGTTCTTAGTACAAATGATAGCTAGTTCTGAATAGTTCTTAGGTATTAGTTAGGGCACGTCTTGAAAACTTAGCTCGTTAGTGGACTGAGTGACAAGAACGATTCAACGTAAAGTTTGGCGAACAAGTAGGTACTGCGAATTTGTCATGCTAATATTCTTACAAGTTTCATAATGTCCTGGTAATTTTTAATCAGAAATAACATTGCTATAGTTACCTTTGACTAGTTCGTTATGTGCCGAGATTTTCCTAAAATGGCGGCCCTTAACAGGTTTTTAAAATATAGCACTCGAAAATGGCAACAGACATTATAGAAAACAGAAACCAAACAATCACCAATTAAATTTTCCGTTACATGGAAAATGCTAGAACAATAGAATTCTCTAAGAAATAAAGCAAGCGAGAAAAATATTATTTTCATTTAAAATAAGAACAATAAAGATAAAATAAATACAGGCTGCTCCATTTAAGTCGGGCTTGTCGACTCACGAGCCCGATACGATGGCTCGAGTCGACAGGAGAGGAACGGGAACGCTAAGTGCAAACTCTAGTATTGTAAAACGGAAAGTTCTTAGGAATTACGAGCCAGGGCTGCTACCAACCCTCCTAATGCCCGATACTGCGACAAAGTCTTAGGAACAATAAAGACTCATTTTAGTAATTGAGAATTGCTCGGTTGAGTTAATTTCTGGCGCAAGGTTTGAGTGATTGAGGACAAATTAGTGTCGTTCTAAAATTGTCACGATGGTTGAAAATAGACTTAGGTTTCATTGTTATTTATGAAGGCCTTAACGTTTATTTTCAGGACATTCGATATTGTTTGATATTCTCATCCATTTGATGGCACGTAATAATTCACAGTATTATTTATACCTAAAGCTAAAAACGTGTATCAGCACATAAGCATAACAGGAATTTAATTTCAGGTTTGACATTAAACACCATATTTAGTGCGTCATCGTATGAAAAGTTAAAATTAAATGGAACCCTGGCAACCCTAGTAAAGTTATAAACAACAGCGTGTTCCTAACTCAAGACCTAGGGCCTTCACACCCTGTAGGTAATAAAAGCCAGTGAAATATAGGGGGATACGTACCCCGTCATACGTTCGAGATTATGTTAGAGAATTAAGTGCTGATGTGATTTATTATTTTAGTACATAAAGTTTTATTATATGTATAGATAATATTTTTATGAGAATGAGGTACCCTAGAGTCCTAAGCAAGACTTGGTGTAGAATGGACTTAGCAAATTTCATATTGTTGTTTTTGTTGCTTATTAAAATTTGGTGGTCGTATTACGGTAATCCTAGATATTGTTAGAATGAAGTATTGGACTGACTGTAACGACTGATAAATTTCCAAGATATGAAGCATAGGGATGGCCCCATCGGCTATACCTATATTCGGCTCATGGGATACCACAGAAGAGGTTGAGGTTGCGGTATTATGTATATATTCTGTCATGTGCCGATGTATCTACATACATTGTATCCAAATCAATTTGATAACTATCACACATTATCCTACTAATCCTAATAATATTCTATCCTACACAACATAACATCACACCTTTTATTCTCGAAGGGGTAGGCAGAGGTGCACATTATGCCACTGTACGTGTTTTAAAGATCTAAGCATACATAGAGACAGACAGACGGCGGATAGACTTTCTTTTATACTATGCGGTGATTTAATTAACATAGTGCTGGCACATATTAAATTTAGTCATTTCGTAATTAACAT